TGCTATACAGAAGAAACTTGTTGTTTAATCTATTTTATAGATAGTAGTTAGTATCTGGAAATCTTGAACAACCAATTTATTCTTTCCCACTCCCTCCCCCTCCGCCGGTAACCATGAGATTGTTTACTATGTCTATGAGTCTGCTTCTGTTTTGTAGATGAGTTCATTAGTGTCTTTTTTCTTTTTTTAGATTCCACATATAAATGATATCATATGGTGTTTTTCTTTCTCTTTCTGGCTTACTTCGCTACAATTAGATATTGAAGATACTTGTCTCATAGAAAGCATTCATTAAATCTTATCAATGATCATGATAAAGTCATTAAAGGGATACTAGAGTGAGGCTCTGTAGAAAGGTGGAGATGAATGTAAGGCTGAGTAACCTGACAAGCATGGATCTACCGTCTTCCATTCTGTGCTCCTCCAGCCTCACTTCCCCCTTTCCCTCTGGCTTCTATGTTTGATGGTCCAACACTCCACCGAAGCTGCTTCGCTAAGGCCGCCCACAGCATCCCGAGTGCCAGATGCCTTGGTCCCCTGTGGGCCTCATTGCACCTGATGCTTCTGAGTGGCAGATGGGCTGGTCCTCTCCCTTCGGCACGACCTTTGGCTCCCCCCACTCCTTCCTACCTCTCTGATGAGCCCTTTTCAGCCTCTTCTGCTCCCCTCTCTGCCTCCACTTGACGCAGCAGTGTCCCCCCTCTTCCAGTCTCACCCCTCAGGATGAGGGCTCACCCTGACTACTCTCACCTGGTCCCACGGGTCAGGTTTCCCACCAGCCTGGGAACCCTCCGCCAGACTTTATCAGCTGACACTTACAGACAGCTTTTTTTTTCACATGAAATTGACACATCTTGACCATAACATGAAACATGTACCAACTCCAGGCTCCCAAACTGTACTGCAGCCTCAGACAATCAGTATCTTCCAATCCACAAAGGCTGGCGAACTGGGAGCTCTATGTAAATGCCCACTTTTGATTCTTCCTAAACAAGAAGACTGTGCCAGGAGGCTTTTTGAGGTCATCATTCTAAGCACCTCGGAGCACGGGCTTTGTGGCTGTTTTTCTGCAGGGGCTGGGGGCAGAGAGCAGCTGTGTCTTCTCTTCTGGTTTGTCTGCCTCAGCCACTTGGCAGTTAGTCAGAGGTCGAGAATCTTGAGGGTAGTTCCACTTACAGGGCTGTTAGAGACTAACACTAATGTTTTATACAGTAAAATACATGGTAAATATTGTGACCCACGCTTCCCCTCAAATGAAATAAACTAATGCATAACTTGGAAACTTTCCCTACACAGACACACAGTGAATTTTTTTCCTCCTTTTTCTTTTGGTCTTTGTTTAAAAAATGTGTGGAACCATTCTAAAAAGTAGCCAAACAGGGACAAAAAAAGTCTGTTCAACATCAAGGGTACATTTGACAATACTTAAGCCTTCGGTATCTAAACGAGGCTACAGCCAGCTCTATCCAGCACAGTTTCACGACTGAATGCTGTTTGATTACAAGGTCAAGGTGCTTAAGGCCAAGGATGACAGGTTGGCCCAACAGAAAATGAACAGAAGACCACCCCTCACCCCAGCCCGACCGGAGCACTGTAAACAATGCAGGCCGGGCTGGCTCTCTTGCAGAGAACAGCGGTCTGCTGGGCCAGCTGGGTTCTGGCTCTTGTCCTTTGGCTGTCATTTCTGTCATTGCCAGTCACATGGAGGAGCTACTGGAAAAGGAGAAAAATCATTTCTCTGAAGGCTGCAAACCTTCCAGCAAGCCTGAAAACAGCCCTGGTTTTAATCTTTCTGGTGGCCGTCCATCGGGGCATTACTTAACTTGCCTAAAATGGTCGGCCCCAATTTAATGAGAAGCACGGGATGGCTGTAAACCCAGGGGGGTGAAAACCGAGCAAAGAAAAATTCAGGCCAAATATCGGAAAATGTCCTGATCATGAGACTGGAATGAGGAAAGGGTGAAGTGTGGTCAGTGTGGCCAGTGCTTTAAATTAGCCTGGGCGATGGCTGGGAGCAGCCTGCTGCGGACTCCTTCCCCCGATGGGCTCCCGCGGGGCGTGCTTAGGCAACGCGCTCTCCCGCTTCCCTGCTTCTCAAATCTATTTCCTGGGATGCATGAAAAAGTGAGTCCAATGCAACACGTTTGAAGGTGTGTGTGATTCTGATCACCTTCACTGGGGGACCAGAACTCCTCCCAGTACCTCCTGAAAGTTTTGCACTGAGCGGAGGTGTCTTCCCTGTTGATAGCAGGGGTCGGGGTGGGCAGAGAGTGGTGCCCCGATCCACTCTCTGTGTTTCTCTGCTTTCCTGGCTCTCTGCCTTGGAAGCCTGACCTCTGCACATGGCATCATCTCACTTCCTTTTGGTTTGGCCAACAGGTGGTCCCAGAAGGCGACGAGAAGGGAAGATGGGGGAGAGGCTGGTCCCTCCCTGATCCCCATCTCCAACAGCAGCTGCATTCTTGTAGGCTAGACAGAGGGATTTATATTTTAGGCTTTGTAAGTCAAGAGACAAACTCAAGGATATTATGTAAGTGCTTATATAACCATTTAAAAATATAAAATCCATCCTTAGCTTGTGGGTCATATCAAAACAGGGGGCAGGGCAGATTTAGATTGCTGACTCCCTCTCTATGGCCACAGCTCCCACTGGGTGGCCTCTGCTCAGGGTGCAGCTCTTACTGGCTCCAGTAATGCCCTCTCCCCTCCTCGCCCTACAGGTCTAGGAATGGAGCAGCTCGCACTGTGACGAGTCCCCGGATGCCTCACCATTGCCGAGGGTTCTCTGAACGCTGCCCACACCGGTGTTAGTTCAACCCTTTTGAGTGTGCCTTCTGCTTCCCACCAGGACCATGACAAATCCAGCAAGAGGGTTCAGCAAAGGGAAGCAGAGTTTATGGTACAGTGTGAGGCTGAAGGCTTTGCCCAAGGTCTAGCGGATGTGTGTAGACACTGCGGCCAGAATGAGGTTTATCGTGGACCATGCATTGGGTCCAACAGTACGGAAACCGTTCATTATTAGACACAGTACATTTGTGGACCAAGGTATACATCACGCCTTTTCAACTCCTTTCTGTGATTCCAGTCTGAAACTGTCTTGTTTCTGCGCTTCCCTCACCCACCTGGCCTTTTTCTCTCCTCTTCTCAAAGAGATGGCAAGAAGAATGTCACCTTCCTTGGCCCGAGAGTACCAAAGTGACCTGTGTAGGTCACAGGAGAAAGTCTCCCCAGCCTGACACTCTGGGAGTGGTTTCATAATTACACCCCACGCCTCAGCTCTTTTAACAAGAGATGGTGGAATCACTCCTCCGCGCCAGGTGCAATGCTGTTTACTGGTGAGTCAAAGATGACTTAAACATAGCTGGTGCCTCCAGGGGGTCAAATCTGGTGGAGGGAAGACTCATAAACAGGAGTCATCACACCAAGAGCCCTGGTACATCTCCTCCCTGGGGGAGCACACGGAGACTTGGCGCGAGCTGCTCCACCAGCAAACCAGCGAGAGAAGCATTCACGTTTTCTCACGTCCTCACGGGGCGTCCTGCTGAGGCGCTGCGCGAGCCCACTGGCACCACACGTGCTTTTTCACACCTGGCTTTTTTTGGTGATTCCTTGACACTCGGGTGTCCAACCACTTAACGTTATTCCAGCAGCCGTGTTTGTGGGAACGATGGACTCATGCGAAGCCTAACCACGTGGTCTCTGTGCTGAGACTCCTCTGGAAGCCTGGCTGGAACTTTTGGTGGCAACTTCTTAAATGGGTTGGCTAAAACCCAGGTCGCTGTGCCTCACCCCCAAAATTGCTAGATCTGGGTTGAAGCCTGAGAATAATGTGCGTGTCTAAGAAGTTTCTGGGGGATACAGATGCTGCCGGTCCAGGGACCACACTTGGAGAACCGGGGCACGCACATACACACACACACAACACACACACACACACACGCAGAACGAGGCTGAGGAGCGAGGGGCTGCAAAGGGAGCAGTAACTGGGGCAACAGAGGGGTATCACTTAGGAAGTCTGGATGTGAAATTTGAAAAGGGAGGCATTTGGGAAAATAGGAGTTTCACTTGGTGAGAAAATGAGGGCAGGTTCTGAGGGCCAGGGAGTCTTTGAAAGCCTTTGTATGACTGAATCATTAGGTTTGGGGAATTTGCATTTTTAGTTTTTTTATGTTTTGGAGAGGTGACTTGTTATCGACCACATCTTTCTTTTTTTTTGGAGGGCGGAGGGTGGGGCTAGGTTTTTATTTATTTATATTTTAACAGAGATACTGGGGATTGAACCCAGGACCTCGTGCGTGCTAAGCATGCGCTCCACTGCTGAGCTCTACCCTCCCCCTGGGAATTTATATTTTCAAAGCCCTCCCAGGTGATTCTGATTCTCAGTCAAGTCTGAGAACCTCCACAGATTCAAGATCTGGCAGTACCCGGCGCACAGTAGGTGCACAGCCAACACTCATCACACTGATACTAATTCCAAGTGGGTGTTGAGAGTGTTTTCCGATTTCTTAATCTAGTTGTTTCATATCCTCACTTATTTCATAAAACTCGGTCCCAAACTGCCAGTTAATGGACAAATAACACGCTCTCCAGTAGAAGAAGAAGCAGAAACTGGCTTCTTCCAATAGCAGGAGTGTTTTCTCAACGTCCATGATGACAGAAACGAAAACCTGGCTTGAACCAAATATGTTGTTTGTATTAGTCACAAGGTACAGATTCCTGAACGTGACACAATAGAAAATTCCCTTCTTCAGCTTGGAGATTCAGTTCGGCTCCTTCCTGTCTGCGCATGCATGCACGCCACTGCATGGTCCGCATTAGAAAAGAATTAGGAGCAGACAGCTGTTCTGCTACATTTTGCCCACATCTTCCCAGAGTTCAACCCATCGCCCTGGGGAGGGAGGGCTTATCTTAAAAAAGAATCTCACCGCTGTAAACAAGACAAACCCAAGCGAAAACGCACCGCAATTAGTACGAACATGAGCTGGCTCTGCTGAGCAGAGAACGACCAACAAAGTTTGCGTTCTGCTGTTTCAAAGGGTTACTTCTTTTGATTTCATAGAAGGGCTGCTCTAAAATTAGCAAATGACTCAGAGAGTGATGAGCATTATTTTTGTTGTCATTGGAAGAAGAGGAAGGCCATATGTGTGTGTAATGTGGGGTGGTGACGAGAGCTGGCTTTTATTTATTTTTGGAGGCACTGGGGATTGAACCCACGACCTTGGTGCATGCTGAGTGCGTGCTAAGCACGCACTCTATTACTGAGCTATACTCTCTCCTCTAATAGAGTCAGCTCTTATACTGAGCCTTTCACCTGAGGCCTTGGAGTCGCCACAATTCTGTTCACAGCACCAAAACAGAGGCTGGAGACCCGAGCTGGAGCCTTGGGTTCCAGACCTGGGCAGAGCAAGGACTCTCCCTTGCTCAGTTTTTCCTGGTAGTAAGTGAGGAAGTGGGGACAGATTCTGTCAGTCTTCTCAGCTATAATTTTCTCATGCTCTCTGACAATTGGCACAGTACAGGTGCTTATGGGCAAGACCAAAGAGCAAGGGTGTTGAATGAATCACGTGGATTCAAAGACATCTGCATCCAAGAGAAAGAGAAAAGAAGCCTTCGAGATGCATGAACTGCCTCTTAATGCCTTAAATTTCCCAATAAGCCAAAGAGGGTTTTCATCAAGCTCTGAGTCTGTGTTGGGAAGAGAGGTCCTAGAGAAATAAGGGGTTTTGCTCACAGCCAGGAAGAGTAAGTCCTAGATCCATGGCCATCGCAATCCAGTGGCGTGTCCTGATACATCAGCGTACGGCTTGAACAGAGGGGAAGGGGCTTATGACCAGGAAGAGAGGTCAGGCACTGAGGAGGATCCTGCCACTGCTGTTAGACTGTGGAACTGCCCACCATTGAAGTTACCAGATGTTTTTGAAATTTGTACCCATCCTCTGGGGTTACTGCCTGAGCACTTTCTCCTGGTCCACCCTCATTCCGCCACTTTGCCACGGTGACTTCAAAAAGCCCGGCTCTCATTCTCATACTGTGGAAACTGACAAAGCACACACATGCTTTCAAGTCCATGATTTTAGACATTCATGTCTTTGCAATAAGTTGGAGTTTGGTTTGATACTTTATCATCTCAAAAGAGTCTGATTCTTACCACGTGACGTGAGTGTTTTATCGGGAGCAAGGGTGGATTTTTGAGTAGGAAGTGGCTCACCTTGATGGGAGAGTACCACTTCCGGGGGGAGGACGGCCGGCGCATGTTGTTGTTGAGATTTCGGGGTTCAGGGAATTCGTACTCCTGCTCCGGCATCTTGACTCTTGCATTCTTTGCCTTCTCCAACTTAGCACCCTCTTCAGTGGAGCCCTTTTCTCCCCAACGAACCTAAAATACATAACATACAAAACCCCCAATGACAAAATTAAATAGGATGCCCCTGGAGCGTGGGGTCACAGAGACCTGTATGATGCACAAGGTGAGGGCCACCCAGTCCTCAGTTCATTTGTTTTTGGGGTTTTTTAAAGTTTATCTACTTATTTTATTTAATTTTTTCGAGGAGTGGTAATTAGGTTTATTTATTTATTTTTAGAGGAGGTACTGGGGATTGAACCCAGGACCTCATGCATGCTAAGCATGCACTCTACCACTTGAACTAAACCCTCCCCCCTCCCTTGGGTTTTGAGGGCCAGGGAAGAGGGGGAGGTGCAGAAAAAGGGGAAGGGGCGGGCTGAAGGAGCAGAGAGAGCAAGCCAGGGGCATGGGTATTTGGGGAAGAATTGTCCAAGCTGTGGGGACAGCAAATGTGAAGGCTTTGGAGGCCCCGGCAAGAATTTTGGGTTTTATTCTCGTGAGAGAAGAAACCACTGGGGGGTTTGAGCCGATGAGCAAACTGCTCTGACTCACGGTGGGCAGGACATGGGGGTGCACAGGTAAATGGCCGGACCTGCCATCTCCCCATCTGATGCTTCACAGTTCACATCCCCGTTAGACCTCACGTGTGAATGTTCACCATTCTGCCTTGCTTTTCGGTGGCTGAGTAGTCAGCACGCAGCGATGAGTGCACAAAGCTGTCCTCTTACCTCCATTCTTTTAATGCCTCCGACACCTCGCCCGCCGTAATAAGAGGCATCCACTGTCGGCCACTTTTTCTTAGGCAGACCGTCATCGTCTTCTTCCTGCAGAGAGATTGTGACACATGAAGGAAGCAAAGCAGCACTGCTGGTTGGACGTGTCCACCACGGCAAAGTGGACGGGAGCAGACCGCCTGCGTTAACTCCCCGCGCTACTGCTTCCTGAACCCATCTAAGCTGATTTTCCTTCCCTGAGAAGAGGGAGTAAGAGCAGCACTACCTGGTTAGTTGTGGCGCGATCCTGGGACCCGTTTTCTCCTGCAGCTCTGCTCCTTTACAAGGGATCTCGTCTAATCCCATCTACGTGCTGATGATTTGCGAATTTGTATCTTCATCCCTGACCCCTTTGCACTCTGCTCACTAGACACCAACATCTCCTCCTGGGGAACCAATCAACATCTCCACGATGCCTTGTCCAAAGGAGGTCCCGATTTCCCCACCTCAGACCTGCTCCCCCTCAAATAGTCTGTCTCGGGACCTGTGCACAAGCCGTCCCCTTGTTCAGAAATGACTTTTCCCCCGGTCTTCTCATGGCTGGATCCTTCTTATCGCTCCTCAGAGAGGCCTTCCCTAGACATCCTTCTCAAACAGCCCCAGTCTCTTCATCCCATCAATCTGTTGTAGTTTTAGTTACAGCTCTTTTAACATGGCTGGATATTTATTTATTGCCTCTCTCTCCACACTGGGGTGAAAGTCCCAAGGAAGCTTCTGTTCACTTGTCACTTGTATTCTCAGCTTTTGGACTAGCACCTAATACATGGTAGATGCCCAAGAATTCTCCGCTGAATTTACTAATGAGTAAGATGATTCAAATAAAGCATTTAACTCAGTGTCTGCAACTTAGCTCAGTGATAGGAAGTTAGCACTTATTCTATTTTTTAAGATGGAGGGAGGAAACAAGAGGATGGAAAAGGGAAGGATAATTAGCAATTCTGCTCCTCTTCTTGGCATTATAATTATTCTTACTGGGGGTAGAAAAAACCCAGCTATCTACAGTCATGGACAGGGTACAGAGGGGTGGCATAATTCCCCTCCTGGGGAGAGGAAGGAAGCTGAAAAAGGGGTCTGCAAAACAGAAGGCTGCATCCTACAGCCTTGTATTGGAGGCATTTGGGGCGGCAGCGTGGAGTCCCATGTGGGGCAAACTGGACAGAAAGGGATATCCCGTGCCTGGAGCAGGGTACGAAGCAAGGGCCGGCAAAGGAGAGATCAGAGCCAGAGGTGACGAAACAAAATAGTAACACATAACACATTAAGACGCCCAGGATGAGCTGGTGTGCTTGCAATAAGCAGGCTTCTATATGAACATTAAAAAAAATTAATGTACCTTAAAGGACAGTGTTCACAGCTGACCAGAGGACTTGTAACACCCTGGCAGCTGGCCAGAATGGGTCAGTCTCTCTTTGTGCGTGTGTCTCTCTCTTCTTGAATGTGTGGCTGTGAGCCCCGAAGCAGTGGATTCTGTTGTCCTTTGTATTCTGAGTCTTGCACAGAGCCCAGTGCACAGTAGGTGCTCAATAATTGTAAATGTTGAATTGGTGAGAACCACAGCTGGACTTATGTAGCCTTTACCATGTATGTGCTGGTCACTCTGCTGAGCTCTTGACATGCATCAACCCAGCCATCTCACAAACAGCCAGTGAGGTAGGTGGTGCTGTTCTGCCCATTTCAGAGAGGAGGACTAGAGAGGTTAAGTGACTTAGTCACCCAGCTTGTGTGTAGCTGGATTCAAGCCCAGGCCACTGCACTCTTGTTTGTTTCTCAGTGTCGACAAAGTTCTGGGTTTTGTCCTTTCATGCTTTGCTCTTCCAATCATTTGATGCTTTCAAATAAATGCTACTTTTCTATTTCTCATCCCTTGTAGCTGCTAATTTTGAAGACTTATGACTACAAAACATGTCAAAATAATAAAAAACAAGCAAAAAAAAAAAGCAAGAAAATACTACAGTTCACAGTATTTCACCTTCTGATATAAATTCAGAAACTTAGGATGCCAACAAGGAAGCTTAGCTATCTTCCATCTATGGTTAAACTTTACCACCACAGTGTGTCATATATGAAAAAAGCCTGAGCTGCCCGTCTAGTGCAGATTTCAAAGGACTTAACGGAAAGTGAGTCACCCTGAACTCCAACACAGCAGCACCGAGAGTGTAAGGAACTCCAAGAACAAAGCTGCTCTATTCAACAGGGGGCTGCAATTGTCTCGTAAGTCTTCTCGTTTTTTAAATGACAGGAGCAACAAACGTTAGCGACCCTGAGCCTTTTCCTTGCACAGAAGAGGACCCTGGGACCCGGAGAAACGAGGAGATGAGCGCAGCGAGGTTCTGATCTGGCTTGCTGACTTCTTGTCCGGGGTTCTCTCCAGACTCGCGCGCGGAGGTGCCCTGCCTCCCATCTCTTCCCCGACCCTGTCCCCGCTCCCCGCCCTGTGTCTCCGCGGTACCCCGGGTCCCAAGCCCGGCCAGCCTCCTGCGCATGTGCGGGGCCCGCATCCCACACGGGAGATGCCGAGGCCGGAACCCGCTCCACGCGCTCCTGAGCCACCAAGCCTGCCTTTAATCCCCTGACCCGAGCTCGCCTGCCAAACTCAAACAACGGCAGCCCAGGGTTTGACCAAAGGGAGAGTCAGAATTTCCCTGCAGTTACCATGGCTCTGTTTACACATTCTAGAGGGTTTTGCAATCTTCAGAAGAGAAGGGAATCTTTGATGTGTGTGTGTGTGTTTCATTTGGTCAAAAACTGATGGGGTAAAAATCACAGTCCCCAGCAACTCCACTCACAGTATTGGCAGCATGTGAATCTCGACCTCTAACCAAGCAGACGGGCTTTGGGGGAAGTCCCCCTCAGACGCCCCTCGAAGGATGTACCAGGGAGCCGAAAACCACCCAGACAGAAATCCTTTGTGATAAATGCAGGACAGACTGGACAAGCTGAGCTGCTTTGCGTGGGACTCAGGGGCTCATGGCCAGTCGGTAGAAGCTGAGCAGAAGAGCTCCAGGAAACTGCCAGGGCCCATCTGTGGAGACGGCCAGGAGAACCTTCCAGAAGGTGGAATGACAAGGATGGTAAAGAGGGCGCTGTTTAATATTCTGTAGGAAGTAATTAACTGGCTGCCCTGTGTTGTGACCCACTGGTACTTTGAAGCCTTCAGTAAAGCTCCCTGCACAGATGGCTTTGTGCCACTGCTGCCTTTGGGGGAGTGGAGGAATCTGGTTTGTTCAATGGTATCTACAAAGCAGAGAAGATAATGCAGAAGAAGCCAGAAGTAGGAGTCAGTGATGCCTGGAGAAACCGCAGAGATTACGGAGGGAGGCTGGTTTCCCATCAGGGGAAGTTATGTTTAAATCTTAAAGGATGTGGTGGCCCCAGCTATCCACTTGGCCGATGTCTGGGTCACAGAAGTGGCAGCACATTACTCAGACAGTAGAGGTACAGACCCGTGATGTGAATAGTGCCCCTGGGAGTTGTGCAAATGGTGACCTTCTGAGATTCAGTCTACAAGTTCTTGAACATTCCTGCTTTTCTGATACCCATTTGGCCAGCTTGACCTAAATAGGCTCTTAACCCCCAGTTCACTGCGGGTACCAGTGGTACCTCTCAAGGGAAAGGAGAATGTAACTGAAAAAGAATCGAGCCCAAGGAAATAGTTTTAAATCAGCCTTTGAATGCATTGAGAATTTCATTGAATTGTAACACATCATAAACCCTATGAGAAACCCTCCATAGTCCCAAACAAGGGCCCCGTATTTGTCCGTTCCTTCCTTCACTCACGCAAGCAACTGGCCTTAAGCCTCCACTGCACAGCGTTATATTTTGAGAAAGATAAAGAGAATGCAGCTGTCAACGAGGTCGTTTAAATTTACAGGGGAGTAAGTTTTGTGAGGGCGGTGACATGAACTGAAGGACTAAGGCCACAGAAACTTCCAGGCCCGAGAGGCTCTGGAAGGCAGACCTCAAGTAGAACTGGCTGTACCATCTCATCTGAAGTCTTTGAGGACAAGCCAGAGAGGTCACCTTCAGTGTCAGTCTTGGAGAGGAATTCCTAGGAGTGAATTGGCAAGTCAGAAAAACCCAGCCACAAAATACAAAAAATTCCGACTGACTTAACTGACATGTCAGGGCACCATTATATTTGTTCACAAACACACAGTGATTAAAGACAAGCAATGATTGCCTTGTGTTCTTCAATAAAGGATTGTGTGTGTGTGTGTGTGTGTGTTTAAGCAATGTTCTTTTTTAAACTACTGAATATAGGAGACTGAATTCTGGACTTGTTCTAGGACTTGCGTTTGGAGCATACGTGTGTGTGCAAAAGTGTGTAGTATGTGTGAGTGTGTCTGCGTGTGTCAGATGTCCATCGGGAAAAAGATGCCTGGCAGTACCTTGGCCCTTCTCCCCTGTGGAGTGGGAGGCTGGTCTGGCTGGCTGTGTAGACACAGCTATGAGAGGTACCAGGCCTGGGGGTCTTAGGGAATTCCATCCTCACTCTGTTGCCAATTAGAGAAGACCCTTAACCCCGGAAATGCCCATCTGACCTTGTTAAAACTGAGCTTCCTTGCTTCTGTTGGGAGCTTGAAATTTCCTTCTTCTCTCTCTCTCTCTCTTTTTAAAAAGTTGATTTACAATGTTGTGTTAGTTTCAGGTGTACAGCACAGTGATTCAGTTATACATACATATATATATGTGTATATATATATATTCTTTTCCATTATAGGTTATTACAAGATATTGACTATAGTTCCCTGTGCTAGACAGTAGATCCTTGTTGTTTATCTATTTTGTATATAGTAGTGTGTATCTGAGAATCCCAAACTCCTAATTTTGCCCTCCTCTCCTCTTCCCTTTGGTAAGTTTGTTTTCTATGTCTGTGAGTCTGTTTCTGTTTTATACATAAGTTCATTTATGTCACTGTTTTGGATTCCACATATAAGTGATATCATATGATGTTTGTCTTTTTGTCTTTTCTTTATACAGAGATATCACTGTTGGTTACATGGACTCTCAGAAAGTCATGCTATTTTATATTATGCATTTTGATATTCCCTATAAAAGAGGATCACTGAGAGCTCATTAGAAAATTGTGTTCATTCTGGAATTTAGTTATTTAAATAGCAGATTTACCTCCCTTGGATGTGATGCTGAGAGAAATGATGAAAATTGGGGTAACTGATACTTGTTCATCTACGTGGCAGCGTGTTTGACCGCATATTGTTATTAACTGAATTAACAGAGACCGTGTTAAGCTCTCTGGGGTAAGTCAAAGATTAACTAGATGTAGATCTTGACCTTCGAGAATAGCTAATGGTCTTCAACACTGATGCAGAAGGAAAAGTGAATAAATACCCTGGGAGTGCAGAGAAGGGAGAGATTACTCTGATGGAAGGAGTTACAGAGGAGCTGTGGTTCAGGGGCTGGCGGGATTTGAACACAGGGAGCTGGAGTGGAAAAGGTTACCTAGGTTCAGGCTTTGATTTTCAGGGCATTGTGTATGGGCTGAGTTATGCTATCTGTTTCTGTGGGATTCCTTTTTAAAATTTAAAAAATTTATTGCCAAAACACATTAGGAAGGAAATTAAGCTGCTTGATTTACAGGGCCAAGGAGCGCTCAGGGTCAACATGCACGCCCAGGTCCTTGGCACAGGCTGCAGCTCCTTTAGGTCTAAGACCGCCCCTTAGATCTCCCGTCCCCAGATTGCCATTCTGTCTCAGAAACCAGGTCTGCCTTCTTCAGGTGCCAGTACAACTTCCATAAAAATATTAAATGAAACTGGAAAAACTCAGCGACTTCTTTTCTCTTGGTTTTAGCTGCTCTTTCTTGGTGCTTCCTGAGCGTGCTGTGTGTGTGGAGTCCTTTGCGAGATGCTGGGGTCTGGGCTAAACCACACTCCACAGTCTTGGACCTAAGTCCCCTGGCGTATTTGGGGCCGTGGTGGCTGCCACGTCATCTTCCAAAGGCAAACGCCGAACCGGCACCAGAAGCAAGGCCAATAACTCCACTAATTGAACTTGATGAGTGAAGGGAACATTCTTCACCTCAGGGCAAACAGAGCAGCCTCATCGAGAGCTTCTTGCTCTATTTTTCTTTGGGAGGATAAGAGACAGCTGCACATAACAGAACCAGAGCCAAACTGGAACCCGTGGAGCGTTGCTTTCTCTTGCAGGATTAAGCAAAGGCTTTTGTGGATGTCAAGAGGGTTTTTTTTTCCCCTCCCTCCTCTGTGCACAGCGATGCAATTTCCTCCCCTGATTTCTGGGCAGAAAGCTAGCATTCCAACAAGATGTGCTTTAATTGATTGCAGCTATTAAATCCCTTAGCTTACATGCTTATAGTTCAGGATATAAGAGCCATATGGAGTTTTAAATTTAATCATTATTTTA